CAATGCCTCCTTTAAGTTTAGCAACTTCTGAACATTTCCTGGCTACGGCAAAAACAAATACATGGCATTGAATGTTGTTGACGTGTTTCCACCATAATACTGAGTCTTTAAACGCAGGAAAAACCTTTGCACCGCCGGAATAATCAGCTCACAAAAGGTGCCGGTCATTTAAAAAGAATTGCGGTGACCTGCTGGGTACATTACACATCATGACCGCGGCTCCACAGATCCGCAAAGAGGCTTTGAGGCTCCACAACCTGTGTCATTACCGCGTGCAAAGTGCTTTGGATGTCAGAGGGAAAAGTGGAGGAACAAATTGAATTAAATGAGAAATAACAAGACTGCGGTGAAATGCCAAAGACTTCTTACCATCTGCTGAATATTCCGGTAGTCAAGGGAGACACATTTGATGTATGTTGGAATCTCCCAGTACGCCTCTCCCACCTCATCCAGAACACACTTTCGTAGAATGAGACCTGCGAAGGAACAAAGTGCACTTTATCCTATAATTGCTGCTTAATTTAAAGGGCACCTGTCTCTCACTGTGTAAATGATCAGAACGCTGCATTCTGTTGAGAAATTACAAGTGACATCACTGAGAATGCAGCCTATCCCTTCACTAGAGACCGGTGACATCACTGAGAATGCAACCTATCCATTCACTAGAGACCGGTGACATCACTGAGAATGCAACCTATCCATTCACTAGAGACCGGTGACATCACTGAGAATGCAACCTATCCATTCACTAGAGACCGGTGACATCACTGAGAATGCAACCTATCCATTCACTAGAGACCGGTGACATCACTGAGAATGCAACCTATCCATTCACTAGAGACCGGTGACATCACTGAGAATGCAACCTATCCATTCACTAGAGACCGGTGACATCACTGAGAATGCAACCTATCCATTCACTAGAGACCGGTGACATCACTGAGAATGCAACCTATCCATTCACTAGAGACCGGTGACATCACTGAGAATGCAACCTATCCATTCACTAGAGACCGGTGACATCACTGAGAATGCAACCTATCCATTCACTAGAGACCGGTGACATCACTGAGAATGCAACCTATCCATTCACTAGAGACCGGTGACATCACTGAGAATGCAACCTATCCATTCACTAGAGACCGGTGACATCACTGAGAATGCAACCTATCCATTCACTAGAGACCGGTGACATCACTGAGAATGCAACCTATCCATTCACTAGAGACCGGTGACATCACTGAGAATGCAACCTATCCATTCACTAGAGACCGGTGACATCACTGAGAATGCAACCTATCCATTCACTAGAGACCGGTGACATCACTGAGAATGCAACCTATCCATTCACTAGAGACCGGTGACATCACTGAGAATGCAACCTATCCATTCACTAGAGACCGGTGACATCACTGAGAATGCAACCTATCCATTCACTAGAGACCGGTGACATCACTGAGAATGCAACCTATCCATTCACTAGAGACCGGTGACATCACTGAGAATGCAACCTATCCATTCACTAGAGACCGGTGACATCACTGAGAATGCAACCTATCCATTCACTAGAGACCGGTGACATCACTGAGAATGCAACCTATCCATTCACTAGAGACCGGTGACATCACTGAGAATGCAACCTATCCATTCACTAGAGACCGGTGACATCACTGAGAATGCAACCTATCCATTCACTAGAGACCGGTGACATCACTGAGAATGCAACCTATCCATTCACTAGAGACCGGTGACATCACTGAGAATGCAACCTATCCATTCACTAGAGACCGGTGACATCACTGAGAATGCAACCTATCCATTCACTAGAGACCGGTGACATCACTGAGAATGCAACCTATCCATTCACTAGAGACCGGTGACATCACTGAGAATGCAACCTATCCATTCACTAGAGACCGGTGACATCACTGAGAATGCAACCTATCCATTCACTAGAGACCGGTGACATCACTGAGAATGCAACCTATCCATTCACTAGAGACCGGTGACATCACTGAGAATGCAACCTATCCATTCACTAGAGACCGGTGACATCACTGAGAATGCAACCTATCCATTCACTAGAGACCGGTGACATCACTGAGAATGCAACCTATCCATTCACTAGAGACCGGTGACATCACTGAGAATGCAACCTATCCATTCACTAGAGACCGGTGACATCACTGAGAATGCAACCTATCCATTCACTAGAGACCGGTGACATCACTGAGAATGCAACCTATCCATTCACTAGAGACCGGTGACATCACTGAGAATGCAACCTATCCATTCACTAGAGACCGGTGACATCACTGAGAATGCAACCTATCCATTCACTAGAGACCGGTGACATCACTGAGAATGCAACCTATCCATTCACTAGAGACCGGTGACATCACTGAGAATGCAACCTATCCATTCACTAGAGACCGGTGACATCACTGAGAATGCAACCTATCCATTCACTAGAGACCGGTGACATCACTGAGAATGCAACCTATCCATTCACTAGAGACCGGTGACATCACTGAGAATGCAACCTATCCATTCACTAGAGACCGGTGACATCACTGAGAATGCAACCTATCCATTCACTAGAGACCGGTGACATCACTGAGAATGCAACCTATCCATTCACTAGAGACCGGTGACATCACTGAGAATGCAGCCTATCCCTTCACTAGAGACAAACTATTGATCTTAAGGAATTTCCAATTTTGTATTTTGATCATATTTGCTCGTTATGATATAATAATATCTACATTATCACCACACACCCACTTTGGACAGTGAAGATAACATAACACAATGACAATTAGAAGCGTAGAAGGAGATGAATTCCCGGGTGGGCAGAGAGCTCCGTTGCCGCCTCACCTGTGGCGTTCCGCGGACACCGCACCTCTGCCATCTCTCCCGCCGGAGTCTCTTGCCAAACGACGGAAGCAGAATTTTCCTCCGGGCAAATCTCATGAGGCTCTGAAAAGACAGAGAGATCTCCAGTTAAAGGTCACGTCTGTTTGCCAACCCGCGTCTCGGGTTCCCAGCTCCTCGCCCTCACTCTAGCGGTAATGTGGGAGGGATGATTTAACTTTTTTTTTTCACTGGCAGAGGACCGCGCCAGGAAAGAGACGCGCATCGAAAAAATGTATCGAAAAAAAATGGTGATAACGTTCCAGATTGTGTCATCTGCTCCTGATTGAACGCGCCCGGGCAGAAGACGTCGTCAGTAACTTATTCCTGGAGTTACTTATGATAATTAGAGATGAGGGAAGCGATGTACACAAACCGAGCGCTAAACTGACCTGAATTGGATCAATTCACACCTCGGTTCTCAACTGGTGGGTCGCGACCCCGCGTTCAGCGGGTCATGCCTTCCACTTTTCCAGGTGAGAGGCTCCTCAGCCTTCTCCTGGGGCAGCACTATCAGTTCTCTTGCCAAGCAGCCAGGCCCTGAATTCCCCACAAGGCCACCGAGGCCCGTCCTCGGGGCGGCAGGGCGCAGAGGGGCGGCAGCGGTGTCCTTGTGGGGAAGTTGCCCTCTCTACATGTAGTAATGCTTTGTAGAAGCCGATTGTTCGTTTACATGTGAAATTCCTCCGCCGCCGAGTCTCTGACTGCAGTGAGCACAGCGGCCGGGTTATAAGTAACCATGCCGCTCTGTGCAGACTGTAGACAGTGAGAGGGGAGAGCTGTGCCGTGCTGTGCCGTGCTGTGCTGTGCTGTGCTCTTCCCCTCTCACCTGTCAAAGGAGTTCCAGCACAGTCATGTGCTAGAACTCCTGTATTGGAGTTACTTGTTGGGGGCTTGTTAGCTAGCTCCTGTGTGATAGCAATAAAGTTAAGTGAAAAAAAAATTATAAAAATTAAAAAAATAAGAAATAATAATTAAAT